GGGCGGGGAGGGGCGCGCGGGGCACCGTGCTGTGGGCTGCTCTGCGTCTTGATACCACGGGGGTCGCGAGACGCCAAGGTTGGTGCTCGAAACCAGCGACGCAGCCGTGTCGTTCGGCGACGAAGCTTGCCCGCTGCTGCCGCATGCGTCCCAATCTGAGAGCGTGATCCAAGCGGCGCCCGGCGCGGATGGACCCTCGGCGGCCCGGCAAGGCGGATTACCCTAGCGCCGCGCCGCCCACCTGCGCAGCGGACAGCTGCGACCGCAGGCGGTCCATCTCGTCTGTAAGAAGAGAGGACGGGTCCGCTGCAGGCGGCAGGGGCACCGAAGGCAGACAGGCGGGTGTGTCATCCAAGGGGGGGGGGTTGACGACGGGTGGTGTGTTGGAGTGAGACGCGATGGCGGATGTGGGACAGAAGGCGGAGCATGGGGCGGGGCTGCATGCAAGTCGTGCGGGCGGGCGGCTTGTTTCGCACGGCAGCAGCGGCCGCTGCGCTCACAGTTGCGTCCGCCGGCGGGCGCCGCCGCCGCCGCCGCCGCCGCCGCCAGCTGCGCCCGCAGGCCGGCCGCCTCCGCCGCCGCGTCGCCGCTCCTGCGCTCCGCCTCCTCCGCCGCAGCGCGCGCCGCCGCGAGCGACGCGCCCAGCTCGTCCGCGCGCTTGGCGGCCGCGGCCGCCGCGTCGGTCGCGGCGCGCAGCTCTTGCTCGAGCCGCTGCGCATCTGCCGCTGCCGCGGCGCCAAGCGCGCCCGGCTGCTGCTGCTCCTGCTGCTGCTCCAGCTCCCGCACGCGCGCCGCATGCGTATCCAGCTGCTGCCGCGCCGCCGCGAGCTCGGCCCGCACCGCCTCCAGCTGCCCCGCAGCTTCCTCCGCGCGCGCCGTCGCCGCCGCGAGCCGCGCCGCCGCGGCCTCCCCGGGCGCCGGCTGCTCGCCGCCGGGCCGCTGTGGTTGCGGGGAGCCGCCTGGGGCGGCGGCCAGGGCGCTCCTCATCCGCAAGAGCTGCGCCTCGAGTTCAGGCAGGTCCTTCTGGGCAGCAGCGGGGCCACGCAGGGGCGGCCGGCGCGGCGCGGGGCCGCGCGGCGCGGGCGGCGGGCGGCGGGAGCGTGTGGGCGGGTCAGCTTTTGAAAGGGGAAGGGGCTGCCGCGCTCCACGCGTTCATGCGGCTGCCGCTCCGTTTCTCAGCTGCGCGCAGGGGCAATGCATACCACGGCAGCATGGCAGCAGCGCAGCCGCCGCCCAACGCACGGTTTCAGGGCCGCCAACCCCCGCCGCCGCCGCCCCACCTGGGCAGCAACCCCGGCGAGCCCGTCGTGCGTCCGCCGCAGCTCGCCAAGCGCGTCGCGCGCTGCGGCCTCGAGGGATGCGCGTTCCTGCGCCCACTGCAGGCGGGCTGTCTCCAGCTCTTGCTCCAATGCGGACAGCTGCGGCCAAGATGGGCAATCGAACGCATCGCGAAGGAGAAGGTCAATGGGGAGTGCAGCAGACCGCTTTCTTGGCAGTGCCGCAGCTGCTGCCCGCATCCGGTAAAAGGTGGGCACTGCAGCACAGCAGCAGCAGCGGCGGCAGCGGCAGCGGCAGCAGCAGCGGCAGCGGCAGCGGCAGCAGCAACAGCGGCCGCAGCAGCAGCAGCAGCAGCAGCAGCAGCAGCAGCAGCAGCAGCAGCAGCAGCAGGCGCGGCAGTAGCGGCAGCAAATCACTTCAGCAGCTGCCACGGCAGCGGTAGCAACAGCAGCTGCATCAGCCCAATGACGATCCAGGTGACCTAAAACCCTCGCACCTGCCCCTTGAGCTGCGCCACGTCGCCGCTGCTGGCCGACCCGACCTCCAGTTTGAACTGCTGCGCCGACAGCTCCTGCTGCAGATCATCAGCGCGTCGCTGCGCGGCCGCCAGCTCGTCCCTCAGCTGCGCCAGCTCAGCGCCCCCGTCGCTCGCGGCGCCACCGCCGCTGCTTGTGCGCGCCGCCTCCAGCTTCTGCTGCGCCGCCGCCGACGCCGCCGCGTGCTGCTGCGCGGCGCGCCTGCGCGCGTCGGCGGCGAGGGCGAGCGCGCGCCGTTCGCGACACAGGCCCGATTCCGTCACTAGCCTGCAAGCAAGGCGCAACGTCGCTTGCTGCGCCCCCCACCCACCGCCCCTTGGCAGCCTGTTCCCGCCGCCCCTGCCCCTTCGCGCCAGCCTCGCTCCGCTCCCAAGACCCGCTCCTTTGACCGCGGTCAAACGCCTGCTTCCCCCCCTCCATATCGCCCCTCACTTGTGCGCATCCGCCTCCTCGCGCGCCGCGGTCAGCTGCAGCGTCAGGTCCCTCATGTGCCCCTGCAGCTCAACCAGCAGTTCCTGCGGAACGCAGCAGCACCCACAATATTCAATGCCATCTCCCCTTGCAGAAAAAGGGGGCAGTGGCCGCTGCTCCTGACCGCAAGGGGCGGCTACAGGCCCCCGCCCTCGAAAGCGGGGCGCTGCGGGGCAAGGTTGTTGTGTCAAGGGGGCCGCGTCCGCACCTGCAGTGCGGCGTCCGCCGCGGGCCGGTCTGGGGCGCGCGCCAGGGCGTTGGCGAGCTTGAGTTGGTGCTGCAGGTGCTGCGTGTCGGCGTGCAGCTTCGCGTTGGCGTCATGCGCCTCCTGCGATAAAGAAAAAGGGGGTGGGCGAGCGGAGCCGCGGCTCGCTTGCGGCGCTTTACATGGTGGAGGGGACAACCGTCAGGGTGCGCTCGCCGCTGCGGCCCGGGCTTTGCGGCGGAGGAGGAGAGGCCGCGGCCGCAAGGTCGTGAGGCGGCTCGGCCAGGGCGGCGTTTGCGAGCACTCACTCTGAGCTGCTCGCTCATCTGCTTGAGGCGCGTGCGGTCGGCGACAATGTGCTGGCGCAGCTGCTGCTCGCTCATCGCCGCCAGGCGCGCCGCCAGCGACGGGCCCGCCGGCTGCACGGCACCCGGTTGGTGCTGCTGCGACTGCTGCTGCTGCTGTTGGTGCTGCGGGGCAGGGTCGCGTTCGCAACAAGGGCGACCATCGTCGTGTCGGGGCGTCTTATCACGGGCGGCAGCTTTTCTGCCGGCTACTGCAAAAGCTGGGCCCACGCTACCGGCACGGCAAGACATGAGTCGAGCCGCACGCTCCCCCCTCACGGCACTCACCACTGATGCACCGACGCCGCCCCCGCTGGCGCTTCGGTGCTGCTGCACACTCGATGCCATGTTGTGAGCTTGCGCCGACGCCGAGGCGAGGTTCGAGGCAATGTTACCAAGGAATCCCCTCATCTTGCCGTGCCTCCCGCAGGCCTCCTACACTCACTAGGTCGCGCCTACACCCGGCTTCGAACGCCGTGCCCCAACCACCGGGCGTAGGTTGGGACCCGGAATTTATCTTATGCCTTTGTTGCACTAAGATATATCTTGCTGTGGATGATCCGTGAGAAAGCGATCTATCTATCTTTTCTCTCCCATCGCGGATGTGATACACAAGCATAAACCCAGGGAGCGTGTCGTCTTGGACACGCATATGGAGTTGTTGGACCAAGCAGTCTTGATGCATACGTGATTTTGGTGACGGGCACAACCAGCTGGCACCCAGGCGCAGGGTGTTCCGCCAGACGGTGTGACGGGCCCTTCTTTGCTGCACTTGAGTGGGGATACCTGCAGTGAAAGTGCTGTGCACTGGTCCTGAATGTGTGCTGTCAGTGTTTGTTTTAAACAGGAGCTGCTTAGTTCTGAGCAATGTGGGCTTGACCAAACGTAGTTGGTCAATACTGTGATCTGGGTGCAACAGCATGCATCCCCAATAACAACACTTATTGCTGATGTGATAAGGAAGACATGTATGAGGAGGTATCATAAGCATCACATGCATGAGTGCTTGAGTGCAGTTTCTAGGTGGCATATGTGCGGCAGTGCTTCTGCAGGTCTATACAAAAGGGACTGACGTGTGGGCTGAGGCGACCGCAACACACGGTTTGTAACAACACTGGCTGCAGCCAAGGCTGCCAACATCAGCAAATCCATTATGTAAACCCACACATGTGTGCAAAGAATTGAAACCCTACCACACCAGCACATCATTCCCGCTTGTCGTCTGCTCAACTTACCTCCGCTTGCATTTGTATCGTTTCTGAAAAACCATTTAGCCCGCAGTTCACTCCCAAAGCACCTTGACAGCACGTCGGCAACCTCGCCAATTTCTCCGCGCTTGCAGGTGTTGGTGCTAGCAAGTTCTTCTTCCTAATAGCCCTCTCTGTTTATACTGCAACCGTTTCGGTTGTGTCGTCGTGGTCAGGTCGCATCGCGAAGGGAGACACTTCAGGGTGAGCAGGCAGTTGCGCCCCCCCTGCATTCTCCACTAGTCCATGCACGGCTGAGGTTGCTGTGATTATGTTACTGATTGCCTATGAGCAGGCAATTGGCGGATGCACAGCGCTGGGGCACCTGGAAGCCTTGAGCAGCTCGATTCGGTTTTTCCAACCAACCCCGTGTGTCTCGGGTTGCAGCTTGTCTTTGGGCGGAGGGGTGCAGGTCGAGCCAGATGATAGCAGAGGCTGGGTACTGGGTGGTGGTGCGCTGCTTGTGCTGCCGCTTGTCGTTGGTAGGCCAAGGCATCACGCCACGCTCCTCTGCGTGGTAGTAGGACGCACACTGTGATACTGTAGGACGCACACTGCATGCCACGTGTCCATGGCTTCGACACGTAGTGGTTCTGCACAGCGATTTGTATGCATGGCACCCTGCTGCTAGGCACCACCTTGGACCTCCAAGCAGCTCGCCCCAACCATCTGCTGCCTGCAGGTGCTGGACATGTCCAGGGGCCTAATGCACTAGGTGGGAGCAATGGGGGCCCCAATCAGTCGTGCTCTGCTGCCTGCACCCAGCATTGGTAGCGCATCCGCTCCGTAGATTATAGAACTCCTTTGCTCATGTTGCGTACACGAAGAATGGGCGAGGGCAGAGGCACGGCTAGCGGCGCCACGGCTGTGCAGCTGCTGCCTGAGGCGAGCATATGCGCCAAGTCCGTGCGATTGAGTGGCAGCACTCAAAGTGTTCACCAACTCTCTCTTTGTGGTTCGCCACGTCCACAAGTGCCACAGCATCATGAGATTTTCTGATGTGGAAGACCTGCGGGCCCACCTCATCAGCCTGGACTGTGACTATGGCGGCTACGCCGAGTCACTGTGGGCTGGTCACATGCGGACCACCGAGCAGCTTTGTAATGCAAGTCTGCCAACCCTGAGGGCTGCCGGCGTGATCATCGATGTTCACGCTGAAGACATCAAGGCCAGGGCAGGTGAGGAGCGGCGCAGACCCGCGGCTGGCTTCGCAGCGGGGACAATGCCTCAGGCACGTGCCGAGTGCTGGGACATGGCATGCGTGCATGAAAGCCGCGGCCTGCAAGCCGCAGCTGCGGGCACGGCTTGCAGCATGTGTGCACGACCCAGCCACAGCTGGCGTAAGCCTCCTCGACATACTGGTCCGCGACTGCTTGTTATCAACGAGCAAGGGCATTGGCTTTGCCTGTGCCTGCTCTCATTAGGCTTATGAAGCACTTTATGAGGCATGCTTTGGTGGCTGCAGGTCAGCAGGCAGCTCTGCAGCACTGCTGTGGAGCTGCGTGCCCCATGTCGATTGTGTGGTATTGCGACCTTCTTACTTGATAGCCCACCTCCCCACCTTCCATGACTCCCGCCTCGGCTTTCTCCGGCGTCCCCATAGCAACAATCAGTGAGTAACGCATGGCTTTTGCATTCGCTCGTGGCCAGCCATGTATCACATGGCGCACGCTTGTGTTGCACCCCATGCAAACACGCTGCAGCAGCCCTGCATGTCAGGAGACTGCATGCACGACCGTGTGCAGCATGCCAGCCATCAATGTTGTCCTGTATCAAAGGCTCTGTAGCCCTACCCTGCACAACACCTGCATTTTGCAGTTATGCAACTTGTCACCCATGTTACTGAGTTGGACACTGGCTTCTCGGGGCTTGCCTTGTCAACTCTTCCCTCACACGCAGCACGCGCGGACAAGGACCTGGGATGTTGGGCGCAGCAGCTGGTGGACACCCAGGAGGTTGATGGCTGCCTGCGCCAGCCAGCAAGCCAGCCTGCGGGCCTGCCGCCACAGCTGCGTGGCAGCCTGTACATTCGGCGCAGCTACCGCAGGATGTTCGACTTGCTGTGGGCCAGCCGCAGCAATGAAGGGCAGCAACCGGGGTTTGTTGTGACAGGCACACCTGGCACTGGCAAGAGCGCCTTCGCCCTCTACCTCATTCAGCAGCTCGGCATCGAGCAGCAGACTGTTTTTTACGAGTACGAGGAGGAGAGGCGCTGGTGCCGCATCAAGTTTGACTTCAGCGGTCCCCAAGCTGTGGCCAAGTCTGTGATGGCATCGGTGCACGACGGTGAGCACAGTCAACTTCACATAGGGGAAAGCAGTTGCTGTGGTGAAGGTGCGCAAGCATGACACCTCGATCCCGATGAGGCCGCAGACGGCTTTCCCAATCCGCACTTGCCATTGGCAACAGCAACAGCGGTCCAGCCCATGTTGTTATGGGCCAGGGCCTGTGTCAATGGCGTCCCCTTGTTTTCCAACACAACTGACAGCAGTTTGTACAGATGGCATGCTAGCTGCCCCTTACCCACGCTTTCCGGCCTGGTCCTTTACCGCTTTGCAGATGACTTGCGCGCTGGCGAGGCCTGGCTGATCGTGGAAGGCCCGCCGGCAGCCAATGTGGAATTTGGGGGCCTCACTAAGACGGTGGTGCTGTCGTCACCTGATTATTCCAACTTCCGCACGTTCATCAAGGGCAAGTAAGTCTTGTCGCCGACTTGAAGCTGGCTGGCTTGAGATGCTTGGGATTCATAACTGCAGGGCCTGTTGCCGCACGCAGTTGGCTGAGCCCACCTCCTCCGGTCCCATTTTCGCTGCACAAAGTGCCTTGCCGAGGCAATCAACTCGCCCGGGTGTTTCTGTTGCCGACCCTGCTGCCTTTAAGGTACTGCCATGAACCCCTCTACATGCCAACATGGAGCCTTGCCGAGCTGCAGGCCTGCAGGCAGCGGCTGTACGAGGATGTGGCAGCTGACACCGTGGCGGAGCGGTACTCCTGGCTGGGAGGCAGCATCAGGCATGTATTGGTGAAGCTCAACACGGACCCTGAGCAACGGGTGCGCGGAGCCCTGCACAAGCAGAGTGCACAGCAGCTGGTGCGTGCCATCGAACAGGCCGTCAGCTGCGCCTCCGAATTTCCCCACACATTGGGTCATTTCCAGGTGCGCCCAAATCTGGGGTTGACACCAAGTGGTGCACAGCTATGATGCATCTTGCTGCAGCGGCTGGTTTGAGCAGCGCGTTTGAAATGCCGTTTGTTGATGTGTTGAGCTGACAGTTCCAGTAAGCAGAATGCAGCCCCCTTTCACAGGGAGCTCGGCCTTCAAAACGGTCGTGCGCAGCATAGCCTTTCTTTCTGAAACGTGCGGCGCTTGTACTTGCCGTACTCTGCCTGTCGCAAAGCTAACTTGCATGCGCTTTCCTCGCACTCCAGTGTGGGGGAGTTGCAGTACTGAAAACTTGCGCACCACTGTGTGCTGCTGGTGCCCCTCTCGCTGATGCCACAGGTTCGGTCAGATTTCTCAGTGGGCTACGTGAACTTCGCGTCGCCCCGCATCGCGGACCTGGTGCTACAGCAGCTGGCAGCTGAGCTGCGACAAGGCCTGCGGCAGTTCCTGGTGGCGTCCAAGGACGAGACCAACCCTGCTGGCCTGAGGGGCGTGCTGTTTGAGCGGCATGGGCACAAGGTGTTCCAGCAGGGCGGCGTCACGTGCAAGTGGCGGCAGCTGCAGCCGCTGCATCTTGCAGAGGAGGATATTCTCCAGCCGCCACCACAGCAGCAGGGGCAGCAGCAGCAGCAGCAGCAGCAGCAGCAGCAGCAGCAGCAGCAGCAGCAGCAGGGGCAGCAGCAGCAGCAGCAGCAGCAGCAGCAGCAGCTGTGCATTGTTGTGGGGCAGCAGTTGCAGCAGCCAACAAAGTCTGACTTTTACCAACCCCTTCTACACAATACCCACGGGGATGCAGTTGAGGTGGGATGGCGGTACAGAGGATTTGGCCACAACCAGCCACAGTAGCAACGCATACATCATGCCCCTCGGCATCAACAATGCTGCATGGGATGCCATCGTTTTGTGTGGCTCTGATGCACCTCTGATCCTGCAGTTCACGGTCGGACGTGCGCATGGCATCCAGGCGCGCCCTCTAGTGAAGCTGCTAGAGCGCCTGGGCCCAGAGCGCAGCAAGGCAGCGCGGCTGGTGTTTGTGGTTCCGCCCGGGGTTTTTGACACTTTTACCAGGCAGCCATGGCAGACAGCCAAGGGGGAGGCGTTGGCCAGTGTGTGCTCAACCCTCGAGCCCGTGCAGCAGTGGGTCATGGAGTTGAAGGTGCAGCCCAGCCCGCATGGCAGCAGCAGCCACAGTGGTGGCACCGGCAGTGCTGCAGCCAACAGCAGGAACGGCAGTGCTGGTGGTGCCCCGCCAGCGTGAGGTCGTTGCATTGAGTTGAACGAGAGTACGTGTTGTGATGCATTAATGTGTGATTTACGGATCGATGGACGGACTGGGTCTTGAATTTGTTTGGAGCGGGCTTCTGCTGTCCAAAGGCCATTGAATGAGCCTTGACCCATCTTAAATCTGTGGGACCATCGGTGTAGTTTGCCTCACCTTCTGGACACCAGCCTCGAGGGCTTATTGGCAACCTGTTGATTCAGCACAGAGATAGGGGCAGGGGAGGCTGTTCAGGGCTAGTTGTTGAATCGGCTGGCCGGTCACGTGTCGTTGGTGGTACACCACGCTTGACCTAACACACTGCTGCGCGTTTGATGTGCAGTTTGACCTTCATGGCGGTGTTCGCATGATTGTGCATACAAATGCAAAGGTGCAGGGAAGTCCTCACTTTTGAAACACATGTGCTGAATTTGAGACACGTCGTTAGGCTGGACATGCGATTTTGGTGTACAGGCGCACGCACTCTGGTGCTGCGCCTCTGGGCGGACCCTACGCTCGTGTTGTCGAGTGGGGCAGGGCACATGCAATGATTTGGCTGCGCACATGACCTGGTTGTGTGTTGGTAGTATTCTTAAACCAGGCAGCGAGCACAACTCTCAGCAAAGCATAAGCTTGAGTCCAACCTAGTTGGTCCAGCTCGAAGTGACAGCATCGATCCCCCTTACTTGCTGCTGATGTGGTAATCATTACATGCATGGGTTGTTGGAAATAGCTCAGGTGGCAGATGTATGGCATTGCTTGTACAGGTCCATAATTCCATGCGGCAAAGCATAGGCCGAGGCAACCACATCACACAGTTTGTAACGACCATGGCAGGCGATGAGGCTTCCCACCCCATTCGATCATTCATGACAGCACCACATGCCATGTGTGCGACAGCAGAAACCGTCGCCGGTGAAAACAGAAGCTTGAGCTCGCGTGCATGGGTATAAGCAAAGCGAGGTGCGCCGTTGCACAATGGAATGAACAGCCGCACGAGCACTGGGGGAAAAATTGTGTTGGCAGCGCAGTTTTTATGCCATGCCTCGGGATCTTGAGGAGGTAGCCCCCCGGGGGCGGCAGCGCCGCCCTTATGTGAAGAACGCCTGGTGTATCTGCTGCGCCTTGGTGCATACGACAGGGCCGCATCCTGCGCGCCGCCGACGCTGCCCGCGACCCCCTGCAGGCCCGCAGCGTCGATGGCGCCGTCGACCGCGGCGCCCTTGAGGGGGTTGACGACAAAGTTCTTGAGAGCGTCCTGTGAATGCCGTGTTGAATAGTGATGATTAGATGCGATGATCGACTGAATGTGACGAAGGCGCATCGTCGCTGCCGCGCTCTAAGAGCAGGCAAAAGGGCACGCGGCTAGAGCGACGGCGACGCGTCGGCGGTCTGTGCTGGGGCGCAGCGGGCGGTCCTGGTCTGGCATAATGCAGCGCATGACTCGTCCCTGCCCCCACCACCAGCCCGTAGCACCCACCTTAACAAAGTGCGCGCCGACCTGAGGAGTGAGGCAGTGAGCAGTCGATTATGAGAAACGAGCGCAGTGGTGGTTCAATCAGCACATGACAAACAGCGCGTGCCCCGCCCAGCCCCTGCCAATAACACACGCACACCGACGCACGCCTGGCAAGGCACAAGGCGCAGGCAATCACAGCGAGCCGCCAATTGTCGGAGGAGCGCCGCGTGCTGCGGCGCGGGCGGCCGGCTGCCCTGGCCCACCTGCCGCAGCGCCATTATGATCGCGACAATGGCCGTCCAGTCAACGCCGGGCGCCACATCAATGATCATCTCGCTGCCTGGGAAGCATCGACATGGTCTTACTTGTTGGTGTTGCTGCGGCTGAGTGTGCAAGGCTGGTTGACGCCGCCCACTTGACATGAGGTGCTAGGCGCTGGCCGGACGCTGGTCGCCTGGCACCACTACTCAACAGACATCAACACTGCGCATGTCAGCCGCAACGATCCTCGACGCAGCGTCCCCCGATCAGCTGTGCTCACCCGCGCCGAGCGCCGCCTCTAACACGAGCGCCTTAGTGCTTTTCTGGCAGAAGCAGACCTGGGATGGAAGCAACATAACGCCTTGTCGTGCGCAGAGCATGCCAGCCACCACTGCCAGCACAGGCGGCCTGCATCAGGCGGCAGAAGAAGCAGCAGCAGCAGCAGCAGCAGCAGCAGTAGCAGCAGCAGCAGCAGCAGCAGCAGCAGCAGCAGCAGCAGCAGCAGCAGCAACAGCAGCAAAAGCAGCAGCAGCAGCAGCCGCATGAGACGGACGGCGCTCTGGACAGTGCGAGCAGAGCGCGCGGGCTCTTCGCACCAGCTCGTCCCGCGGGTTGACGATCTGGAATGTGCGGCCCATAAGGTCTGGCAGGATCCTGCGGGGCCCCGCGATGCATGTGGGTGCATCAGGTTTGATCCGCCCCTTGCGCGCGCACCCACGCCGCAAGGACTGCCGGCCAGCAACAGCGGTGAGGCAGAAGCAGCATCGCGGGCTCGACGGGAGCAAAGCTGCGTGCGGCCCTTGGCCCCGCCTGCCGGCGCTGCCGCCTCCCCCGGCCCCCGCCCTCGACTGCCCCCACCTGTACAGGACCTCCTTGCCCTCTCCCTTCATGACGCCTATGTTGGAGCGCAGGGCCAGGTTCTTGAGCTTGCTCTCCTGAGGGCGGTGGTTGATGGGCATGAATCAGGGAGGTCCCTGGCGCATGCCTGCCTGCCTGCTTCGATCCCGCATGCGTCGCCTTCTGGTGCCTGCCTGCTGTTCGGCTGCGATCTCCATCAGGATGATCGATGTCACAGGTGTGCAGGGGCGTTCATGCCCCGGCATGCGTGCTTGCATGCGTGCATGTGTGCTTGCATGCGTGCATGTGTGTACACATACAAATGTGCACAAGCTTGCAACCCACACGATAATATCCCAAAATACTTCCACAAACACAGGATTATACATACACAGAGTCACATGCATGCGCACACGCACGAATGCATGCATGCATGGTGCGCACGCACACTCTCACACACACACGCACACATGCGCAAAAAATACACATACACGTACATTTACACATAAATACACGCACCGGTGCATGCATCCAAACACGCACACACACGCGCACACACACGCACACACACCTTGCCGATGTTGAAGATCAGCGCGCCACTCGAGTCATACACCCACTGCCGCCCGTGCCTGCTGATAGCCTTGGGCCGGATCTTCAGGCTCGTCATCCCGTTGTAGCCAGTGACTGGGGTGCAGCAGGCGGTGTTTGGGGCGAGCAATGCGGCGTTAGGATGCAAGTGGTTGCTTGGTCTGTCTGCACCGCCCACACGATTCACCTGGACCTCGTTTGACCCTGCTCAAACGAGAGACAATCTGTTGTCCAGAGCTCACCGTTGCACGCAGACTCCCACTCCCCCATCTGCGGAGCGGGCGGGGACGGGCAGGCGTCGGGTGCATGTGGGTGACCCGAGGAATCTCGGGCTGCCCCGGGCAGCCCTTGCCTTACCAACAATGCCGCCTATAAAAAGGTCATCGAATTACAAGATCCCCTCTCTTCCGCTCTCATTCCACCAGAGCGCGCATGCACTGCTGCTACAGCAAGGAGCGTTGCTGGGGCCCCCCAAGGCTGCACCTTGCTGTCGTAGGCCTGTATCGTGTTGCTGGTCTGCAGGGGGTCGAACGCGTCGTATGGGTTCTTGCCGTGATGCCACAGCACCGCGACGACGCGGCCGCAGGAGTCAAAGATCCGGAAGTCGTCGCGGCTCACGTGCGCCTGCGGGGCGCCAGCACCAGGGGGCGCCCGCGCCAGGGAGGCGCGAGGGCCGGGCAGGCTTTCGGCCGCCGCCGTTGGGCCGGGGCGCGTGCGCGTCCCGCCGGCACGCGCGGAGCGAGAGGGTCGAGTGGGAGCATCATCACGCGTAGGTTGCAGGTCGAGGGCGGGCTGCTGCTTCGGCGGGGCAGTGATTTCAGGCGCACCTTTTTCAAATGAAGCTGCGGCGGCAGCAGGCAGCAGGTGGGGGTGGCGGTCGCGGCATCAGGTGGGCGCTTTGCAACGCACGAGGCAGGCGCAGGTGTGTGGTATCATGGTACCGCACCGGCTCGTGCAAGGTCTGCACACATTGGTATACGTAAGTGCAACAGTCGTGCATGGACTTGAGGCAAGCATTCTGCCGACGTTGCTGCAGCGTGCTCCCCGCGCCGCCTCGCACCGGCTTGCTTCGTTTGAGAAGTGGTGGCCCAGCACGAGGCCGCTCCCAGGCAACTGCCTGACTAGTTCGGGAAAGGGCGGCCCCACCGCCAAGTTGATGGCGAAGTTGGGGTCGTTGAGCCTCGAAAGCTCGGTTGCCATGGCTTTGGGCACGCCTGGGAAAAGATAAAGATCTACGTACGGGCTTGCGCAGCAAGTTTTTGGAGAAAGAGTGTTGCGGCACAACGAGGCTGCCCGTTGATATATCATAAGGTTGAGTTCACGGCAGTGGGTCAGCTGGAGTCGGGCAAACAACAGGACCGCCTTGATGGCTGGAATCTGCCACCGGCATGCAGCTGCACGGCACTCCTTCGTGATGGGGCAAGCAGCACCGCCTGACCGCTGTTCTATACGGCTCTGTGTTTGAAAGCACAAGGAAACGCACCTACGCTATAGGGCAGTCCAATTTTCGCACAGCTTGCCATGCGACACGCTCTGCCATGATGAGAATGACGATTTCTTTGTTGGTGTTGCTGAACTGAGGGACTTCTTGCATACACCCCTGTGCGCGCACGCATGCATGCACATGTGCACGCACGCTCGCGCCTTTGCAAGCACATGCACGCGCGCGCACTCACACACACTCTCTCTGTCTGTCACACACGCACGCACGTGCGCGCGCGCGCGCACACACAAACACACACACATGAACACATGTGAACACACGAGTGCGCTCAAGCGCACGCCAGTGCCTGGACACACGCGAACACACAAGTGCGCTCAAGCGCGCGCCAGTGCATGATCCACACAGGATACAACATCAATTATGATAAGTGAGGCGCACAATTATGACAAGAGAGGTTGGTTGTGACAACCACCAGCCATACAGATGTATGGACAAGACACAGAGCAGGGCTGCAGTACGCCGTGCCCGCGCCGCCCAGGCGCCGCCACTCGGCCCCCAGACGAGCAACCCGGCGGTCCTCTATGGAAGCGCTTTGCCACGAGGAGCGCGCTCAGGTCGCCTCCATTTGTTATAAAATCCAACTTGTAGCACAGAATCCGCGAAAGTGAGCACGGCCACCCGCTTGCAAGGAACTCAGATTGCGTGCTTGCGGCACGCCCGAACAATCCCTTTGGCCCTCATCACGGTGTGTATATCATGTGTTTGCTAGTTCTACCCGGATAAACAGTCAGCTGCGAACTGGTCACCCACCCGGCGCCGCTGTCGGGAAGGGGGCCCAGGGGCGGGCCGTTCCAATGGTGTGGCGCTGCACCTGCCCGCGTGGGTCCAGCCACCAACACAAACGGTGGGCGAGAGGCTTCAGAGCTTTGATCACCACGCAGCAACCCTCCCAAACGCCCCCGCAGTCCTGGCGGCAAGCCAGCGTTTGCAGCCCAAGCAGTCCCACCATGCACATGCTTCGGTGTACGCTCCTGGTTGGAGCGCTGCTGCTAGCGCTGGCGCTTTCAGACGTGCAGGGCCGTGAGGTGGCCGCCGACCAAAGTGAGTGTGCTGCTGCGGCGGCGCTGGCCTCCAAGCGGGCGGCGAGGATGGGGTTTCAGTTGCGAGCACGTGCAGGCGCGGCAGCGGCCGGCCGCTCAATTCTTTCGCACCCACTCAGATTTTGTGCCGTTACACTCACGGGTGTCCTTGCAACATGTCCACTCGCATCATCCCACCTCAGACGCCCCAAGCATCCCAATCTACGGCAACTGGTGCGGCGGCACGTGTGACTGTTTCACGGACGCCTCGCCCGACACGCGTACATTCTCCTCATCTGGGTGCAGCCCGCAGCCGCTGCAAAATCTCTGTTTACTCCAGCAGCAGGGCTGAGCCCAGCCACGCCTCCCGCCGCACGCTCTTCCCCCCCCCTCAAGCCGAACATCACTCACAAACAGTTGTCGGCGTGCATACGCTTCCAGGTGTGGCCCCAACCACGGGTCTGGCAAGCCCATCGACGCACTGGACGCCTGCTGCGAGGTGGGATGCATCCCCAGCGGCCCCGCTTCGGCCAGCCCGCCCCGCCTCGCTCGCTTGCTCGCGTGCTGGCTGTCCAAACCTTTTCACTGACCGGAAAATATGCCCATTAATGCGGACGCCACCAAGCTCATTGGAAAGACACCCACGGTGTGCTTTGCTCATTGGCTGTGCTGCCCCGTCCTGAATCTGCCTGGCGACATGCGCGCTGCCGCCGCGCAGGCGCACGACAAGTGCTACGACAAGAATGGCTACTTCAACTGCGACTGCGACAAGAATATCCTGGAATGCCTTCAGGGCGTGTTCATCTCCAACGGGCCGCGGCGCGAGGACCAGAACGCGTTCAAGACGGCGGCGATGCTGTACTTCAGGAATGCGCCGTGCAGGTCATCAGGGGGGTCGTGGTCGTTCTTCCGGTGGCTGCAGAACCTCGGGTGACGGCCCGCCGGGCGTGGCGACGCGCCAGTGGGTCGCGCCGTCGCGCGAGGCGCCAGCCAAGCTAGGGCATCTATGGCTGCCGTCGCCCTGCACAGCTGTCCCACCCGTGTTCATGCTTTCTTGATATTGCTAGGCCTGCGATAATGGTGTGGCATGCACAAACGTCAAGAAGACCATAAGAAATACAAGCATGAAGTCTGCGGCAGGCTTTAGAGCTCATCAACTGTGTCCTGACTTTGACTGCATTGCACATATGAACAGGATGAACGAACTTTATGCTTCAAACAAATGATATTGCACTTCAGCACTTCAATCCCACTCTATGCAGCAGCCTGTTGTCGGTAATTTCGGTATCCCGCTCCCGGTTCTGAGCCTCTTGGGGTTCATGTCGAATGTGCTGCGTGTCTACGTGGCACTGGAAGCTGTTAAGTGCAGCTTCTACACAGATATGCGGTATCGGAGGGTGCGCTGCGCGCCAATGAGCCAAGGGTTCACGCACTGCGCAGCCGCTTCGGGCGCCGGGGTGCGTGCGCACTGCTGCTCAGAAGATCACTTCGCATATTGGAATCGTAAATTCCATCACGTGCTAGCGCCGCCACCACTGTGGCGGTTGCCCGCGTAGTGATGGCCGAGAGGCGGAGTGCAGAAGACTGGCGATGGGTCAATGAGATGGTTGTGCCGGCGATGCAACATCACTTTGATGTATATTACTTTATCCGTCTTTTTGGCACGCCCAGTGCATTACCAGACGAGCCATCCGAGTCCACACGTATCCGCTGCTCGCTGGGGCACCCCGGCGACCTGCATCCATCCCGCGTTCGTCCTCACAAACGGCCTTGAACGGATATTGGGTGGTTGGATAGTGTTAAGGATCCTATTAGTCTCGTGCTAGGGCCTCCTGGCGCAGGTTTGCCGCGCGACCAGCGGCTGCAATCCACCGAGGAGGCCAGCGCAGGCTGCACAGCCTTCAGATAAGGTAGGATGGACGTATATCGCCTGTATAAGGGCGACAGTCAGTCATAAAGGCCGCAAGACGGTGTGGAGGGCCGATTCCTGGGGCGGCTGGTGCGGCAGATATCATACGCTGCGGCATGCACAGGCCTGCGCGGTCCCAGCCAACGCAGTATTGGACCCATATCATGCACACATCATGCACGCGTCGCACGCTGACAGTTTGTCGGTGCGTGGCACAACGTGCCAGGGGCCCGAGGCTCAACTCAACAACGGCGAGCAGCAGCCCGGCAGCGGCGGCGGCGGGCGGCAGACTCGCTCCATTATGCCTTTTCGCCCGCGGGCGCTCCTGGCGTGGGCGGTGCTGGTGGTGCTGATGCTCTCCGGGGTGCAGGCGCGGCATCGCGACGACGCGCCAAGTGAGCTTGGCTGGCCTGCTCACACCGGAGGATCAAACGGTCGGGGGGGCAGGTGCCGGCCGGCTGCAGGCAAGGGGGCCGCAGCCGCTGGCCGCAGGGCCACCGCTGCACCGGCGCGTGGCTGTGGGTACCTGCAAGGCGGCGTACGCTGCGGCAGCTGCCGCTAGACTGCACTGAGCGCACAAGCCTCAGCCGGTTTTCACACGCGCCAACCCACACGCCCTGTCGCTGGCTTCCCTGGACGGCCGCAGGCTGGCCCCTGTACGGCAACTGGTGAGCAGCTGCGCGGACTGTGCTCGCACCCGGCGGCAGACTGGGAGGGAAAGCGACGACCCTAGGGCTTGCCCCCGACAAGCGGAAGCCGGCCAGGCTCGAGAGCAGCCGGCGGCCCGTGTCTGCACTCGAGGCAGGACCAGGGCGCGGCGCTGGGCCCGCGCGGTCGCAGCCAGGGTGCAGCGCCCCCGTTGACCGCGACCCTGAATGCATGCGCATGCGCTCTTTCCCGCTGCAGGTGCGGCCCCAACCATGGTGGGGACGCGGCTCCCATCGACCCCCTGGACACCTGCTGCCAAGTGGGTGCCTTTACTTTCGGCCGCGCCCTCTCCTCGCGGGTTTGCCGCTGGCGCCGGCTGCCGGTGCAGGCGAGACAGCGTGTGTGTGGCGGATGGGCGAGCGGCTGGCGGACTAGTCTGACGGACGCCCGACACCGCAAACGTTGGCCTTGAATTCCTGCCCCCCCTCTCGGCGTCCCTCCGCCGCAGGCGCACGACAAGTGCTATGCAGCGAGCGGCTACCTGAACTGCACCTGCGACGAAAAGATGGTGTCGTGCCTGAACGACGTCAAAATCCCGCAGGCCTCTGAATTCAAGGGGCAGCGGATATTCAGGGCGGTCGCGGTCATGTACTTCAAACTGTCGCTCTGCCGGACGGCGGGCGCGTGGACTTGGATGCGGCTCGCGACGATTGCCTCGTCGGCCGTCGCGTCGCGGTGACGCGGCCGCGACATGTGCAGTTGCGCCGCACGCGTTGTTTTGTACCTGCTTTCCCCCTCCTTACCACCATGCGGCCCCAAACGAATCGGCGCCGCGCCCCTCCCTTTCACGGGGCGCCGCGCTGCGGCGCGCCGCCGGGCGGCCGTCGGCATGGCTGCGGGCGACGCGTCTTCCCACGCGGCGCCCTGCGCCTCGCGGCCTCGCGGGCGGCGGCGCCTTGCGAAGAGGCAAACCTTCATTGATATGATGATCGCTCGCTTGCTATGAGGGAAGATGAAGGGCCACCACCCCTGGACTATGCGCGCTTCTCCGCTCGTCTGGAATCACCCCCATGCGCACACACCACTCCCCTTGGAGCCGCCGAGCTCAGCTGCGGGGCCGCTGCAGGCACGGGTCCCCTCCTCTGAGGGCCGTTGCAAAGCCAATGCTCTGCAAAGACCGGTGCCAGCAGCGCCTGCCGGCGATCAAGCCCCCTTAGCCACACAAACTCTAGCCAGGGCCATCGCTCTTGGCCGCCTTGCTCCTCGGTTGCATGACATGTCAACCGTTGCAAGACCTTCCCAGCAACACCAAAACACCTGACAACCCCGGGGCGCCCCTGCGGAGCCCCGCTGACACATTTATTCTCAACCTTTGCGCGCCCGCGCCCGCGCGCCGCGCGCATGCACTGCCTGTGATGTTGAGCCACGGTCGGGCCGCGAGGCCCGCAATGCACCCTGTGGGCACCTTGGGGCGCCGAAAGGCGCGGCGCAGCGCAGCGCCCTCAGGCTGCGCGCGCGGGAGATGGCGGATGCTTTTCTTGGCAAGGCCGCCGTGAGGGCGGCGGAGAGGGCTGGGCTGCGAGCGGTCACAGAGCACAATTCTGCCGCACGCATGTAACGCGCGCTGTTTTTGTCGTCGGCCGGATGGGGATGATGTACGTAGTGGGGACGTCGAGCCGAGGCTGCGGCGAGCACGGCCACCGAGCCAGAGGCGGCGGCGGCATCACCCTGTGGCGCCGCAAGTATGCCACAGGGCGGCGGGCTGCTGGGAGGCGGGCGCGCAGGCGGCATGGCGCACAACGCCATTTGACCGGTCAACCGAGGTCTCTGGCACACATGCGTGCCTGCACCTGGGTTTCCGGGCCTCCAAGCGGCAACCCGCCTGATCACCAGTTTGCTGACGAGACCGCTGCCCGCACAGATACGCCGGATAGTCTAATTGAGCACAGCTTTACAAACGGGTTGACGAGAGGGAATGAGTAGGAGTTGCTGCTGAGTGCCCTCGACTGCGTGCGCGTGATGGCCTCTTCTCGGGGCCTGGCCAAAACAGGCGCCACGAAAGGCCGCGCGCGGTGCGTCATGCGGGCGTGCGTGTGGCCATGCAATATTCACAGATGCCAAGATCGACGGTACAAACGGACATGACTAAAGACAAAGCAAGGGCCGACGCTGGCAGAAGAAAAAACCCGGTGAAGCAGACCCACTGCGCTCTGCATCTTGGCAGGCGCCCGGCTGCTCGCATCAACGCCGCCGCTGCCCCAGAGCGAGTGGCCCTGGCGCGGCCCCAACCCCTGGCCCTGCCGGCCCCAACAGCTGACGATCCCTTCAGATCACATCACATCAGATCAGATCGCCAGATCGCACCACCTCAGATCAGAAGAACAGGTCGACCTCGTCCTTCTCCTCCTCGGCCTGCTGCTTCGCCTTCTCCCCGCTGGCGGTGGCGGCGGCGACGGCGGCGGCGACCTCGTCGCGCTCAGAGGGGGCCAGGCCGAACAGGCCGGCCAGCTCCTCCCTCTTGGCGCCGTCCTCCACCTGGGAAGAGGGTTGGGCGAAGGGGCGCGGGATGAGAGACGAGAGGTCTCGCAGGGACGCGCCCGGGACGCCGCGCGCCGCGTGGGGGTTCGGCGCGCGCGTTCGCTCCGCACGAAGCGGCGAGGCGCTCCCGCGTCGCTGCGGCGGCGGGCGCTCCGTTTTGACGGCGCCCCCCTGGCTGGAACAGCGTCAGGAAGCCGCGGTCAGACGGGGCAGAGTGGGGGCCGCGTGCGCTCACCCTGCCGCAGTAGGTGGCGAACAGCTCCTTGAGCTCCTCGTGCTCCCCCCACTGCACCGCCCCCACGCCGCCTGCTTCCGGCTGCGCGCGGTACGCGCTCAGCAGGTTGTTGAGGCTGGTGATGACGTCACTGGAGCGCTTCTGCCGGTGTTGGCTCACGGCCTGCACCAGCAGCATGCGCTTACGGCTGCCGATGAGCTCCCGCAGGAGACTCTTGATGCGGCTCTGCTCCACGCCCAGGATCTGGTGGTCAAACAAGGTCAAACGTTGTTGGAATAGTGAGTGCACAGTAACAATGAGTGCGTTCAGCGCTAAAGGGGGGGGGGTTGGGTCGCCGGGCGATCAAGGGGGGAAACAAGGCATCAAGCCTGGCGGCCGTGGGCGTGGCTATGTCGAGTCGTGAGAAGCCTGGAAGACGGGGAGGCTGCGGCTCTTGGCGCCAGGCAGGCCCCACCCTGCACTCTGGAGTCGCACCTCTCAGACCACTCTCTCATAAACTACGGCACGCCATCGTCGCACGCATGGAGCAAAACACACATACAATCAACGATGTCACGCGGTCGGGACTGCGAGGCGGAAAAAACCCACCGTGGGCAGCTCGTCCAGCAGCAGCTTTGCGTCGAACTCGGCCTGCCCGTCCCCCAGCCGGCGGTCGAGCTCGCGGCGCAGCAGGCTGCGGCGCGCGGGCTCCTCCAGTGCCTTCTTCACGTCAATGCCCTCCTTGTGGGCCTGGGGGTGGGGTGTGGTGG